TTTCACAAGAGCGTTCCACATAGCGATATTCGTTATCCGACTTTGAAACTAATCACAATTGCAGTTTCCTCATCTTTGGGAATGAGCCACGGCGGCATATTTCACTGTATCGTGATTTGCCGACTGATTAATCCAGTACGTTTTTGCTTCTTTTTTAAAAATTTTATTTAGTATCTTCAAATCCAATTTATTTGACGCTGGAATTTTCTGAACACTGATAGGATTTTTAACTATATTCTTGTCTTCAGAAGCTTAAAAAGACCGAGTATCCAGATTCAGAAATGGTTGAAGTACTGGGAAAATTACACGCCGTTTCTTCATTTACAGAAACTGTCACCAAACCTAACAATTATAAACTTTCATGAGTCGTTTTTCCAACCAAACGGCGATTTAGGTCCACAACACAGCGTGTCAATAATGCGTTGGTATGTTTCATGTTAATCGCGTAGACTGAAGGCCTCGCTATGAACTTCGACGCGCGTAGCGACGAGTCAGATATACATAGAAGAGTTCGGCAAAATTTTACTTCGGAATGAAATGCGTTGGAATGAACCCTCTGGTCAACCCCAAGGAAATATGATGTTAGTCGCGTATACCGGAGTTTCGCGTATACCGGATGAAATTGGACACCCATTGGACATCGCATTGAGGTTATATATACGATGCTATTTCTCCTGCAGGTATTCGTTGTACGTGTTTGTGTTGTAAAATATACTAGTTCTGGAATAGGCTAAATCACACTCCACTTTTACAATCCAGGAGGTTGGTACTGCGGTACAAAAATTATATTCATTCCTTATAAGTAAACAAACTCGGATATTGGTTGTTTCTTTCCATAACTAGATATATAATTTGGCGCACGTTTGATAATATTCATTTGCGATTATTAATAATCATTTGATTTTAAATTGTTTGTAATTGATCTGTAAAAATTGGGTATTCTGTCAGAACCGGTATTCAGTCAATAGAATCTATGACACAAGATACATTGTAAAATGTGAGAATGTCCAGATTCAGAAATGGCTGACATGAACTTCCATCACTTGTACCAATTATCTCTACAACTGTAGAATTGTATGCCCAGCCTTTTCTGTTTCCCCTCATCTTGTTTATAATGCACTATTCTTGTAGTGTACTTAACACTTCACTTCAACATATATCTATCCATAATTTAACACTGCACACAAAAATTAACACTAAAGGTCCTCAGGCAAGGGCACTCATGGTACACTTAAACCTCACAACATCAACCAAACCATGAATATTTTTTTAAAAATACTATCACTATATTAAAATAAATCACTAATTGTAGAAAGGAGAGATTATATAATGTTCAACAATGTGGCTCTACAATTGTGGCGTCCAGTGAGAAGGGGACCTAACACACAAAATCAAAAAAGTTGACTTTTTCACAAATTCTGTATCCTGTTTTTATCTTTTATTCCGCAAGTTTCATAATTGTATCTTAATCCATTCAGTTATAATATTGATCTTTTAAAATGGGTGATGTGCCTATTCTCTACGATATCCATGAGAGGGGGAGATAAGCCACATTCACGAGTGAACCAGAACATCAGATGTTTTTGTTACATCTCATATTTAATCCACCAAAAGAAATGTATTACTGACATTCTAAGTTAAGTTTTTGGAATAAATCTAGAAATATTAGACATTTTATGTTCAATAAGGATTTGACATGTCAATTTCATGGGCTTCCAGTATCCCTTGTTTTGCAACAGTACTGATCGGTAACACAATGAAGAACAAGGGTCACTCTTTAGGAAACAAGGATCCCCGTGAACGGCTGATGGCTCAGGGCAACCACTATTCCCACTGCAGTGTCTCTGAGAGGAAGGTTCTAAGATTCGAGACCCAACTGATTTTTGACACTAGCTAGATAGCTTGGTCAATTTGAACCACTGACTAGAGGAGAATTCTAGCAACAAGCAACTCTGTTCGGTAGTTTTCCGTTGTTAATCCGAATAATACCAGCTTAATGCCGGAACAGTGTCGTAACAAATGAACAAAATGTCTCGGACCCTTGTGGGTTAGCTCCTTCTCTCAATGGATGCCTTAATTGTAAAACAAAGTAATACCACCATGAGTATTTCACACCAAAGCAACAACATCAATTATTAAAATTTGCAGGAATTATCTTTTATAAAGGGACTTTTCTCTTTAAGAACAAGAAAAACTCTTCTGTTGAACAAGTTTTGTTTTATATATAAAATGCCATTTAACTTCAAAGGCAGAAGAAATTTTCCAATTAAAATAAGGGTTGATTGTTTAGGGTTTTGCTTAGATTTCATTCTTATGTAAATATAGTTAGTGAAATAAAAAAATAGCAAATACACTTGGTTCAATTGCCTACCTAATGCTCCTGTTTCTCCATTTGTTTGCACAGTGAATAGAGCAGGATATCCCGCAACACCCCCAGCCAAACCAGGTCCAAACACTCTTATCATTGTTTCTTTGAATGGGCCGACATTTACTTCAAACGGTGATTTTGGAATTTCCTGACCAGCAAAAGTTATCATAACAACATATCGTCCTTCTTTATGAGGATTGTATACAGCTTCATAAGTTGTTCCATCCAGTTTTGTTAATTTAACACGTTCAGTGACACCACCTAAAATACACAAAATTTATCTCAAGTTACATACAACAAAAATATTACCCAAGGTTTAGCCATGATTTTGTATGAATATAACAGGTGGAATAGGTTCTTGGTGACTTAAGATGGGTTAGCAGAAACCTTGAGCAGTCAACAAACAGGAATATAGTTAACAAGTAATTTACTTATAAGCTAAGAAGAAAATTATGTACATCTGAAAAAGTAGAATGGAATGGAAAAAATGAAAATGGAGAATTATTGTTTGTGCTGTTTAATATTTTGCTTCAATGAATAAGCCTACAGGTAAAATTATGCTTACTTTTTAATTTGAAAAGTTACTATTTTTATGTTACTAATGGTATTTAGTTATTAATTGGCAATATTTTAATTCAGTGGTGTAATGATGTGGTAATGATTCAAATTTAGATTTATTTAGTCAGAAAACAGTAAAATCAATGTGACACATTTGGGGGAGAAGATCATCTGTGCATGTTTTCTTGAGTTCCAGAATCCCTTTCCATCATTTTAACTATAAATAGTTGAAAGAAGATTCAAAGATAAAAAAATAAATAAAAATTTAAAAAAGCGTGAGATTACTAGACATTTTTGTTCCAGAGTTATAGAAAACTTATTAGCAACAGTAAAGAAACTGCAGATTTGATTTTTCGGGATTGCTAACAAAATAGTAACTCGCCCTTGCCTCTACTCCTACCGCTACAAGCAAAAGTTTAACAAAACGTGCGCATAGTGAAGCTACATTTACGTCCAGAAGCAAAACAAGGGGCCATCACAGCATTTGCTCAATGGATCACGGAAACTGGACAAAAATCTGATCGAGATGGGGGTCAATGACCCAGAAGCTGAAGTACATTATTTGTTACAAGCATATTAAGTCTTTTTTAAAAAAAATTATATAATTTAATATAAACTAATTCATTATACATCACTGTTTTGTGAAAATAAACATTATTTTTCTTTTTGATAATCAGTATAGTCTAATTATATAGAAAGTTATGCAGCAAAAAAGATTTTACATCAAAAAGCATTTGTGTACTGACTTCAATTGTTTAATGTCATCAGGCAATGCATTGTAAAGTAATGTACATGTATTGTATATGGATTTCTGGTAGTAAGCTGTTGATATTGACACTTAATGAATATATTTCTATGACGTATGTTGTAATCATAAATATCAGTATTGCATGAAAATATGTTCCCACCATTAAGTAGTTTTGACAAATATTACAGATTTGTAAATAAATAGGCAAAGGCATGGTAAGATTCCAAGCTCAATGAAGAGAGGCTTGCAGGGATCACACAGATGACATTTGTTCATTATTTGAATCATTTTCTTTTGCAATCTACAGGTCTGGGTACTACATGATGAGCTTCCCCTGATGATTGCTTGCAGGGATCACACAGATGATATTTCAGGAGAGACAGGCAAGCAGTGAAAGCAAGTTGTGTATGGCCCAAATGAGTTTTTATCTGTTCTCAAACAACTAATTTGTCTGAAAAAACAATTATTTTCCAGAAATATGTTTATTTATACAATATATATAAGGAATAAATAAAACATCAAATACATTTTTGATAAATCCTTATCTGTGCAGTTGAAATTATTTTCTAAAAATATTTTGCAGAATGTTGTGACAAAACAAGAAGTTTAAAAAATCCTCCCAATTGTTTTGAACCTACTATATGAGAAATGAGTTTGGAACCAACAAAAAACAGATTTACCAATTTTCACAACTCTTCTCCTTTCCTTCTTTCCCTTCCCTCAAGTTATACACAAGTTTTTTCTTTATATCATTTTTTCTTCTACAAATAAAGTGTTTTAACTTCAAAAATCCTTTACAAACTGTAGCCATATTTTGCGTCAGAGGAATAGAGTTGATACAAGTCATTACAGTTTTGGACCTAGGAACTACACACATTTATTCTGTATGTGTCTAGTACAGTCGGTAAATAGTACATAGTACATGTTGAAAGTAAATACAATGAAAATCTGAACAAGAACTACTGCCATTTAAAACATGGTATTAAATTTCTTTTATAACTCTGTCATATAACACACATCAAGTTCTGGGGTTGAGAGATGCGTAATTACCTATGTTGTAAAGAACAGTTATGAAAATAAGTAAATGTAACAAACCAATTGTGATGTTAAGAGTAAGGTGAATCATATACAACCCAATGAGACATACATTCTAACAAAAACTGTTATTAGATCAAAACACATTTTCAAGTGCTGCAGCTGCTAGGACAGGTAGAGATCAAATGAAAGATAAGATTTAAGAACACAAGATCTTGAGAAGAGAAGGAAGAATGAACAAATTTTGGTCAGTTTGCATCTGGCCCAGACCTTACTATTTATGGGTTAAAGATGAGATTTTTTTTCACAAAGACAAAAATTATAATTCTCATTGTTAAAAATACTGTTGTGAATATAATACTTCACAGATTTTAATGTAAGAAACTACAATAAAATAACTGAAATATTTTCTATGAGCCTCAACAATTAATTTGGTTAAGTTCAATTACCATGATCCAAAAATTAAAATAAAATATTCCATTTCAGAAATCATGCTACACTTACCAGGACCAATGATTCGAACTTCTGGATTACCTTCACCTGCGCCCTCAGTGTAAATCTTAAAATCTGCCATATCACCCACACGAACACCATTTGGTTGAAGTCCACGACCTGATGCTCTGACCTTCTTTGCATCTGATACTGTAAACAATTGTACAAAAAATTAATTATTACGAATGATTTATAATCTTAACAAGTGACAATAATGTGCGAGATTTGTAAAATTACTTAGCACAAATCTGAATCACAATGAAGAAATGAATCTGAACCTTAACAAAATTTAGGTGTCTGCTAACAAAAGGAAGATAACTTCAAAACCTACCTGGTGACACCCTAACTCCAAATGGACTGTTAGGAATTGGCTTGCCAGCAAAGAATACATTAACGGAATGTAAGCCAGTAATAGGTGATACATATTCACAGCGCCAAATATCAGGAGAAAGTGGTCGGACTTTTACTGGCACTGTATTCTTGTTGCCTGATGGATCTAAAATGATGACTTCGGGTACACCACTCCCAGCATCTGTAAATTTAGTTAACAGATTTTTAGATAAGTTTCAAAATATTAAATAAAACATAAAAAGTATGTTTATGTTAATATTAACACATTTACTGAGAAAATTTTACTGTAAATTGAAGAATAAGAAAATGAAGAACGAATTGTGCACATAAAATTAAATGTGAAATTTTAGAGCACAGTAATGTCTACAAAACTGAAGTTGTAGGAAACAAAAAAATAAATAAATACTGTGTATGTGAAACATGTGTTATCATCAGAACATATTACTAGCTACATGTTTTGGTAAATTTACAAAACTAACATTGCACTACGGAATATGAAACAAAAGTATTGCCATACAAAAAACAAATGTGTGGTTTTGCTCATATAAAAAAACTAAGTTCATCAAAACAAACTTAACATGTAAATTTTTAGTCACTGTACTCAAACATAGTAGCGACTGTTTCTCTAGTATAGTCCAATGTAAAATTTATTTGCGGTTGTTATCTCTCCCGAAAAGAGGTAACATTACATTTTAGAATACCTTTTGTGCAAATATCAAAACAAGTTGGTCGATTAATCATGACACCATCAGGCTGAAGTCCCGGGCCAGAAGCAGTCACTTTGCTAGGATCACCTGCATGCCCCTCTACCAAGACAGAATAGGGCGACTTTGGAATCTCCCTCCCAGCAAACTTGACCGACACTTTGTGTGAGCCCTCTTGTCTAGGTACATATGAGACACTGTATGTCAGGTTGCGGTCATTATTGAAACGAATATCCACCTACAAAAAGAAAAAAATGAAAAACTGTGGTATTAAGAAGAAAAGTGTACCGGAACTTAAAAATCTATAACTGTTTTTATAAAAACTAAATCTTAACAACAGGAATGTATTTTGCCCATCAAAATTGGACAAATAAAATGTGTATCATGAATAACTTGAAAAATCATAATGGTTTTCTTTCAATTGATAGTGTATCAAAAAAGAATGATTAGAAAGCAAAATAAACAACAAAAGAAGCCAATTACAGTGGATAGCTGCAAAAGTAAATTTAAAAGAGAGAAAAACAAGAAATAAATAAAAATCAGGAAAAGAATAAATGTAAATTAAACTTTAGTGAAATGTCTACTCACTGGTTCTTGTTGACCAGCAGCATTTAATACTTCCACATCCACTTTTCCCTTTCCGGCAGAGAAAGTTTCAACTGTGAAATTTGCAGGGGCACCAACAACAGGACCCCTTGGCTCAATACCAGGACCATATGCTCGCACTCTGAAGGATACATTTCTTTTATTAGTGAGAAATATATACATTTTGAAAAACAAAGTAAAAAAATGTTCACTTACAGAACCAGCTAAAAGATATTAGATTTATCTTCAGTTCTTTGTCATTTTACAAGATTTAAAACAGGTAATTTGAAACTATTTACAGTTAAGAAAGTAACTCCATTTGATTAAAAGTTTTAAATGGCAGATAATTTGTTTGAACTAGTATATCAAGTAATACAATTGAAATAGATATAAGCACCAAGCCAAGATCAGCAATTTTTGTATCAAATGCATTATTGTTGTAAAAGATTTTAAAGGTGTTAAAAGTATTGCTTAAATATAGGTTTGAACTCTTGTAGGCATAATTTCTAGAGGAATACTATTATTATTCTGAATTACCCTAAAATACAAAAAATATTCGATTGAAGATATATAGCAATGGTCTCAGAAAAAGAATGCGATTGGATTTTGTTTTCCTCTTCAGCTTCAATTTTACATTAATGCTATGGCTCTCTTGAAATAATACAATACTATTATTATAATAAATAAGTAGATTCTGTAATGAACAATAATTTTCAGGTTTATTAAAAACAATAAAATCCAAATGATTAATTAATTTTAAATTATGCTGTAAAGTCAATGAAAATAAAATTCACTTTCCCCATAATTTCTGGGTTCGTTTCCAAATTTTATACACTTCGGGGGTGGTTCGGAATTGCCTTCAGAAGACCTATGAAAGTCAGGTGCATGAAATCACGTGCAATACCCTGTTCTTACAAAATTTTATGCATGTTCCTGGCATTGAAAGAAAATAACACCCACCCTTGGTGACAGAACGTTTGATTGACAGCCAGAGGCCAATAAATTAATGCTATGAAGGTAAGCTTTGCTTCATTCAACAGTAATGAACCTGAGGAAACACTCAGAGCTGTGACTTCACAACAATGACTGTTTAATAATTTCATCATTGCATTTTTGTGAGCTTGGCATCTTCAAGTGTCACAAGTTGTAACTTACAGATACATTATTGTGTGTCAATGTCAGTATGTTTATGAGAACAATACATTCTACAGTGTTTTGTAAGTCTCCAACTGTTTGTATAACCAATGTAAACTTTCTTTGATAATTTTGAACCTCCATTTTGCACCCAGTGTACGCATGCACATACATGTGCAAATGCGCATGCATACACGCACACAAGTATGCAAACATTTTTCCTGCAGTCATACATGATCAGCTTACTGGGAAGCTTTATTTTTCTCAAACTTTATTTTATGTCTAAATTTTGAGCTTTACTAATTTTAATAGGTCTAGATGGTCACCAAAACAAAGTTGTTTCTTTATTGAACATTAAAACCCTCGCAAAGAATCAAATCAAGAACCACAATCCCCAAAAAAAATACATTACTCTACTCCCTTTAAATATTTGTGTCTTTTGTTTGATTGCAAGCTTTTACTTTCTAATGTGAACTGGAAGATGACATATGACTGTTTTTGTTCTCATCATAGAAATAAGCTATTTCTTAGAAGCCTTCATTTAAAGAACAAGTATCTGGCTGCATAGTGGGCCCTTAACTATTAATTCACTGCGTGTAGTTAGACCAATAGCAGAATAATTTGTTTGGAGACCTTAAGCATTAATACTTGTTTGCGACACCTAATATTGAATTTTGAAATCACGAAATAAACTAGAGTGGCTATGATATTATATATTATATTATACACTATCCATTTTGGGTATAGTGTATGGTTTAAGGTGCGATTTGAAAAAACACTCTTGATATCAGTGGTCTCCCTATATGTGTTTCTGCATCAAATTATCAATTTTTTGCAGCATTCCATAACTTTTTCTACACTTTGTATATGCTCCATTTACACAAGTATATAAGGAAGTAACAATTTTTAATGAAACTAACAATGATAATCAATTCAAAAGCAGTTTTTCCATTTACTGAAAAATTGAAATAATTTAACAAAACCAAGATAATAGTTAATTTTTTTTGTAAATAATTAGAAAAAATGAACTTTGGTTCAAGTATTAGGGGAAAGTTGCCTGAATATTATGATTTAAGCAACTTTTCCCTGTTATGTGGGATGGTATACAAGCATTTTGCATAATTTATTCAAATTCATTTCGTAAATAATTATATTTTAAATTTTATTTTATTAAATATATTATATATCAAATGAAATAATATTGACCAAATATAATATTATATAATTATATTGTTAAAGATAAAGAAACTAATTTACATCACTTTTTTAAAATAAAAATTATAATAATAAATTTGGAAAAAAATATACTTATTGGGGCCTGTCCCCAAATAGAGTCCTAAGCAAGTGCTTGTTTTGCTTCTTGGGGGTAGACTGGGGGTAGACTTTGTCCACCAACTACTAGAACAATTCAGTAGGTACACTAAAATATATGTGAAGAGTCAACTTGAATTTATCAAAAAAATTATGAATATTGTTAATAGTGTGAATAAAGAATGTTAAACATTGTGGAAGTAAAATCCAAATAAAGAAGAAATCTTCCGTCATTGAACTGAAAATAAGAAGAGGATCGATTCTTCCACACATTATAATACAGATACAATAGAGCATTTTTAATACACACTAAGGTGTATGACATCTTTGTAGCTTACTATCTCATGCTTCCACGTTTTGTTCAGACAATGCAATGAACACTGAGTTGTAACACAGACAACAAAAAGCTATTCTACAATTTCAATGAAATTTTCATTAACTACAGCCTAAAAAAGTAAACAAAATTCCACATAAAGAGGTATAAAGCATCCAAATAATTACAGCATTGCTAACAGTATTCTTCATTCCACAAACACAATACCTAGTACTTTTAAGGGGCTCGACATTATCAAGTTAGAAATTAATGTATCTACATCAATAAAAAGGTAAAGGCAATTTTCTCTTAAGAACATATTATTTGTTATATTCGCAGTATGATCATTATATTTATATTTTTGAAGGGAAGGATTTGTGTACTTTTTTCGATGTGTGATTTAATTTTATTTAATTATGTGAATCTCAAAAGAAATGTCCATTAGAAAGCATTACAAATTGTACTTTCACGATTTTAAATTTAACATTACATGTGAAATTTTTTTCTGAGGAGATATGAAGATGCAAATGATGAACTAAGATACATGCATTATTGTTACAAATGAAAATGATTCAATGTATGTAAGAAGCAATTATCGGTATCCCATGGCCATAAGGAGAAAAAAACAACAACGAAACATCTTCAGCAATACCACCAATTGCTGGATAGACATTTCTGATTTCATGTTCTGTAGTCTCCACACAGAAAGATATTAGAATTATCACAATATTGTTAAGTATATAACACGCAAACTAAGAAATAAAAAAAGGTTCTCTAAGCACAAATTTTCTCTGACAAATTTACACAATAACATACATATCCAAAGAGATTTGTATTAGTGACTTTGACTACTGTGCACTCATTTAACAATGCATAACATTTCTTATTTTACCTTCTTATCAATTGAAGTTGATATACAGATATATACACAACTGCTCTATGAATTTTCACCAAGGAAAACAACAACAAAAAACAAAAATATATAATAGAAATTCTAATTGCTGTGTATCCCAGATTGGAAAATCATATCTAATAACAAGTTATGACAACAAAAAATTGTAGAGACTGACTGAACACAGCATTTGGACATACACATTACATGCAACTAATACTAACATCAAATTTAATTAATGGTGAGGAAAAAAATATTATTCACATTACATCAAAAGAAATCATGCCTAATGTAATCAGTAATTTCTTCTCTTCAGCCTGTTATTTTATTTCAGAAACTGAACTGGACCAAGTCACGTAACTAACAAGCAAAATTATTGCATAATACTCCTTTTTGAAAACTTTTGAACTTTTTTCTAACATGGAAAATGGATGAAAAGAAAAATACTTGATGTAATTATAAATTTTATTTGAAAATCTGATGGTCCAATTCAAATCACAAACAAACAACTTTCTAAGCTAAGCTCAGCTTTTGTAGTTAAAGTAAGCTAGGATGAGATAAGCAGTCGTCACACATTGTAGCGCACTTACCGCGGAGGAGGGACACTGCATTCGGCCATAACAGAAAAGCATAGAATCATTGTTACATTTCACTTCCATCGGACCATTACTCTGATAATATCATTTGTAACCAACGAGAAATCAAATAATTTAAATGGATCTAAGCAATAGAACTTCAAACCGTTCAGTTAAAGTAACCAGACCTACGACTATCAGGTTCAAATATTCCTCAAAGGTAGCAGTTTTCACTCGTTAATATAAGTTAAGTAACTAAAGTAAAAAGAAGTGTCCATAATTATGAGACATTTCAAGAATCACCTTCTAACTTATTACATTATCACTTCCAATAAAATACTAATACTTGCCTGTTGGGATTTGTGCGTGGTCTAAGAGGTGCTCCAGGCTTTAATTTTGCATTGGGATACTGGGATAAGTATGTCATCATGGACATTTCATCAATATTAGGATTTACCATTTCTTCTGGCTTGATCAACTGTGCCAAAGACAATGATTACTGTGAGAGTAATAATTTACATTTTAAATTATTTAGAGTAATTAAATTGCAGTAGTAAAGTATTCACCCTTATAGGTACGAACAATTTAATTTTCACAAACAGATTTTTCTAATAAATGCATAACATATAGAAACATGCACAAACACTACTAAGGATATTAATATACTACTCAAAACAATTATTATTTCTACAATGGAAAAATGAATAACTGCTGTCTACTGGAAATAACCGACTATACCAACAGTAATAGAACAACAAATGCAATAGCAAACACATAAAGTTACTACAACAACTTACTGTACTATACTTGTACTGTACTGTGTGTGTATATTGTATATTATACATATATACATATATACATATATACATATATACATATATACATATATACATATATACATATAATATACACACACACACACAGTATAATAATTATATATACATACAGTACATACAGTACAATGATATTGATGGTCAAAATTCATACATGTAGATAAATGATTACCTGTCTAACATTGAGCCAATCATCTGCAAGACCCATTGCCTCAGAAGCATTTTGAACAGAGTCTTTTGGATTCCAATCCTGCCAATCAGGGCATAGTCCTGAAAAACAACATTCATTTGAATCACTAGTGACAACAAGAAACCAGTTAATTTATATTGATTATTTCCTTTTACTCTAGAAATTAAACAAAAATATGTATTAATTGTAAACTATAAATACAACATAAACCCTTCACAAGAGATAGCAAAATCTAATTAAAAATATAGGTTTGACATAACAACAGATGCGTTATAATCATGTTCATTTGGAAAAACGTTGGCAGTCTCAAATAATAATGAAGTTATTACATGGTTGGAGGATAGTGTAAAGAGAAATTTACAGAATCATGTTTTGGTTGAGAGATGGTTGAACTTGAACATAGCTACAGGACAGAGACAGTATATAGATAATAATAGAAACACTACTTATAAGCAAGAATTTAAATTTGTTGAGAATCACAAGATTTGAACAGATGCATAATAACAGTGACCAACTGTGAATGTAACAGTGAATAACTGTGCATATCTTTGTTGGAGTAAGGATGCAGCAATGCTGAATGTGTTTTGAAATTTACAGACTTTCCAGCAATGCAAGGTTGACCAATAATATTAAGTCTTGTTATAAGTTATTTCCCCCTTAGAGAACGAGTTGAGATAAATGATTTGAATAATCTTCATTGAAAAAAGTATAATATAAATTGAACCCTCAATAAAAAATGAGGTTACATGATTACAAAATTAATTATAATTTGGGAAATTAAAAAGAATATTTGTGGTTTGTTTCTTTAATGTGTTTCACTTTTCAAAATAAGAATGTTTGATATTTATGTTGCACCAACCACTCATAATCCCTACCATCATAAATATGTAAATAATTGTCATGCTTCAAATTTTGAAACCCATTCAGTAACCACGAGAAAGAAGAAACTACTACAGTTACAGTAAGCAATTTAAGTCAACTTGCACACTTTTACAAAGCAAATTATTTCATGTGATCTAACCTGGTGCGACAGCGTCAACAAGTGCTCCCACAGCTTTACCATCATTCCAATCAGATGTGAAATTTGTGATGGGTAAATCAGGAACTTTACTCTGGATCCAGTGCATCAACCTATAAAAATATTAGTTTTATATTAAATTCTCAAAATTACAATAATTTAAAAAATTATAGTAATGAATTTCACACAATGACTTTTAAATACCTTTGTTTTGGTGTAGGTCCCTTTCCTTCTCCATATTGTCCTTCGTCCTCTCCTTCCCACATGGGCATGGAGATGGAATAATGCAAGATGAGTGTCCATATTAAACCAAGGATGAGTTTCAATTTACAGTCAACTATATCAGAAGAATCTGAAACAAATTTAAAATAAAATATTTAAAAAAAGTCTGCATTTCCTGAAACATGTTCAGATAAAATGTGGAATGGCAAATTAAATAATTACTTAAGAACATGAGATGTTAACATTCTTAAATACACAGAAAACTACTCTTCAGCCAAGTTACTACAGCAAATGAATAAGAACGATTTAAGTACAAGACTGATCATTTTGGAGAAGGAAAAGCGAAAATCAAAAATATCCAATTGCTGCTTTTCAAATGTTTCTTTATGTGGGGAAAAAAGAAAAGGAAATTAAATGAGAAACCGGGAACCAGGAGAATGAGAATAGATATAGAAAATATTTGTTTGGATGGTCACAAATCTGGCAGTCTTGAGGATTTGCTGATCTTTACTCTGTTGTGCACATGATGCTTACATCACCTTACACATTTTATAAGATGATCAAAACTTTTATAATTATCGAAATTTGTATGTTTTCTGTTTGAACGTAAATCGACACTGAACATTTATGAAACATCGTGTTTGCTTCTTATCACTTAGCAGCACAATTCGCAGTTTGCTCATTAAATTTGTTCATTTTTGACAACTCTCTGATCTGGTCATCGACCCTCGTAGGAAACTTGTACGCGAAAGGGATCTGAAGATTACGCATGTGCTCCGTATGACGGCTCCATTCCCTCCTTGAGATGCGAGTAACATTGTACGATAAGTTGCTCCCCTAGACAAATTTTCATAAATGTTGCACCGTTTATAATTTACAAAATACTACAAATTAAAAATATAAAAAGGTAATTTCAATAAGTCAACACTCTAAGGATATTGAATGTTTGGCTGACATGTATTATGATGATAATAATAAAGCAGATTTCGTTAAACAATTTATTTAATTTCAAGATATTTGTAGAAACAGTCAGCATTCCCTATGGAAATAATATTTTATTCTCATTCCTTAAATGTATAGAAATGGTTGCACAGCGGTAAATATTGTACTTGGCATTTAAACTTTTGTATCTACTTTAACTGTTTTATGACATTTGACAATATGTTTTAAATAACTTACACGAATTATTATTATTGGATTCTTTAGTAATCTCTTGATAATGACCCCTTATGAATATTATTCTTTTGTCGTGTATAGTATTTAAGGTTGTTTTTTTTATTTACACGACCCAAATAATTACAAAATTCCATATTTTTATATATTTCACGAAGTTAATCCCTACAACTGGCGCTATCGTCTGGGACATTTCCTATCAGCAAGTGTCAAATACATTGAAAGATATAAGTTGGGGAAAGTCAAATTGATTACTATGCACATTACGCTATGAAATTTTTGGTGCCTCCTGAAAAATCTCGAATTTGGTCTAGTTTGGTTTTTGTAAGAACCCCTTCAATTGACGGGCTATTTTCGAAGTGGTGTATCTCCATTTCCTTTTAATTTCTAGTTTTACGTATCAATATATTGTAAACATGCTTGTCCATCATGCTGACAAATATGCTTAAAATGGCGTTTCTCAGACGTTAAACGGTATTAGAAAACTGTTGAAACATATTTTGAAATATAAGGCTGAATATGAATAATTTCCATTGCTGAAAAATATTTCAAGGATATACGTCACTTTGGAAATAGGCTATTTAATTATAGATTTTTATATTGGATGAAAATATGTTCCTCTTCATTAAGTCAGATTTGACAACAAACAAACAAACAAACAAACAAACAAACAAACAACACATTGATTCGCAAATGAACAGCTAATGCACTGGGAAGATTTCAAGTTAAATGAAGAGAAGCTTACAGGAATCACGTGGTTGGATTTTGCTTTTATACGTACAACTCCTGCGATCTAGAAGTCTGGAAACTATGGGATGTTTTTGTTTTTATAATTAGGTTTATGATATTTTTTAAACTCAACATTTTAATTTCATTCTTCTCATTTTGAATATTTTTATGAAATTATAAAGAAGTGTGCAATCAAACGGATATATTTCCTGTTTTATACTTTATTGAAATGAAGATGTGATAACATTTCTCTGTATTGCAGAAGGTAACATAATTCGTAGAAAGGAAAACTTAATAACAGTTCGTTTTTGCTTCACACTAATCTTCACATATGATTGCTTGTATGTGGCTGCACATGATTTATAATATTGTTTTAAAAGGTAACAAATTGACGAGAGTCAAACATATATATTTGATTTTGAGATCGTATTCAGGACATTCCTTGGCTTATCATGACGGATTCGAGGGATCGTCGACGAGCAGTCTATCTACGACAAAGCGAAATGCCGAAATCGCGTTTAAAAGATGTCTTTGTTTGCTGCTGAAAAGTATTTCGTTGATACGAAATTTTCAGCTACAATTTTACAAAATACACTAATTGGGAAGAAAATTATGGCATTCCAGGTGAGAAAAATTATAGAAAAAGTGCCGTTTGTTAAATTTGTTAAGTTTGCAAAGATCAGTTCCGTTTGTAAGTTCGTAAATTTGTAAAACTTTTACTCGTATTCTATATTTTTGTAAATGTAATTCAAAAAATATGTTAGAAAGCTAAGCATAAACATCAACAACAGTAATACTAATACTAACGATAATATAATAATGATATTAATATTAATAATAATATTAATAATAATGACAATAACAATAATAATAATAATAATGATAATAATAATGACAATAATAATGACAATAATAATGACAATAATAATGACAATAATAATGACAATAATAA